CTTTGTATTTCTTTTAAGTGTAAACCTAACCATGAATTTTCTAATGCTTAGTTTTGAAACTAATGCCTAATTGTGGAAAAAAATACAGTATTTGTGTAATTTTTACTCTTAAATGATACATGCTGTCAACCTTAACTCCATCTCAAAAACTTTTTTGTATGGTAACATACATGCCCAGAGCCTCAGATGATATACATTTTTATAGCTCTGACAGCAGTGGAGTTGAGGGAGCTATGATAATTTACTCTAGCTGGGAATCTGGGCTATTAGATGAAGCAATTGTGCCATTAAAATATGTATTATCAGGATGTGGCCAATCATTACTGGACAATGATATGAAAGAGTTGGCCATTGTTGTAAAAGATGGACACTTAAACCTAGGACAAAGACATGGTTTCTAGCTGCATCCATCTATATCACACAAATGCCATCAAAAAGCTTAACATCTTGGTGAATAGACAGACTTGATCATAACTCAAAGCCTAGGTATCTAGGTGTCGCATTAGACTGTACTTTTAAGGAACACCTTACCAAGACCTTCCTTAAAATAAAGACGCATAATCAAAAAACTTGCTGAATCTGAGAAGCCGGTATCCTGATACTAAGAAATTCTGGGCTTACATTGAGCCATTCTGTTCCCTGGTGAGGGTCAGCTGTTTTCAGAGAGGAGAGTAGACGCTCAACTGAATGAAACTCTGTTTATAATAATAGGTACCATGAAAGTGATCAGTTTGGCCTTATTGTTGGTCCTGTCCAGTGTCTTCCCTACTGTCATGAGGGAACAAGTTGCCCTACAGAATTTGCTCCTGAAAGTGCAAGGTGTTGGCACCTCTGTCCTTTTCTAAAGATGTGTTTAACCATCAACTTGCCATTTTTACTCAAAGTACCTGTTTCAGCAATTTCTCTAAGAGATCTTATCATCACATTCAAGTGGCATATTAGGGGTCACAGACAAAGCTTCAAATACAGCCAGTAACTCTCTCATGACAGATCCAACAGTCCAGTCCCCTGATTTTGACTTTCCACGTCATCTTTGGGTAAAGCTCAATCACTTCAGATGTGGAGTAATCAGATGCACCACTAATTACTGTAAGTGTAGTCTTTGTGACTTTCCCCTATGCCTCTGTGGCCAGTTAGAAGATGTAAGCCTTGTTCTTGCAGGCTGACTATATAGGCAAAGGTTTGCTGGTTCCCCTTGTGAATTTGCCTAATGCCCTTTCTTCAGCTATTGAATGATTGAGGGTATGTCTACACTACCCTGCTAGTTCGAACTAGCGGGGTAATGTAGGCATACCGCACTTGCAAATGAAGCCCGGGATTTGAATTTCCCGGGCTTCATTTGCATAAGCGGGGAGCCGCCATTTTTAAATGCCGGCTCGTTTGAACCCCGTGTCTTGTTCTGTCCTCGTTCCACGAGGCGTACAAATAGTTCGAAATGGCTTGCTAGTTCCCCCGTGTAGCCGCGCTGCACGGGGTTTGAACGAGCGGGGTTTTAAAAATGGCGGCTCCCCGCTTATGCAAATGAAGCCCGGGAAATTCAAATCCCGGGCTTCATTTGCAAGTGCGGTATGTCTACACTACCCTCCTAGTTCGAACTAGGAGGGTAGTGTAGACATACCCTAAGTTACTTAGGCTAACATATTTGGTTTGACTGTCCATGCACAAGCAATTACAACATATATAGTACCTGGTGACCTTACTTAATGATTGTTCTTTCTTTTACTCTCCATCCATCTGTCAATTTTGTCGTATTTAGAGTTTAATCTCTTAGGGGCAAAGTAGTATGTCTTTGCTTATATTTGGGAAGTGCCTACCAAGCACATTAAGCAAAGAAGCACTGATTCAAATAGGATAAGTGTTTTCATTCCTCATTTAACTTGTCAAGATATATACTGTCAAGAGAACAGATACATTTTTATGAATAGAAAATATTTTTTTTCAATAGACCTCTTAAATTGATTTGTTTTACAGCTTGACAAGGAACCAAGTCATCCACTGCCTGGACTAAAGCACTTAAATCATCAATAAATGGACATTTTTGCCCTGAGTTGAGTTCACTTCTCTAGACACCACATGTCATTCTCACACGGGCAAAAGTTGGCAGAGCTGCAGAAGTGGCATGCTCAGGTCTGGGAGTGATATGGTGGAGCACAGTACCTGTGAGTCTGTCAGGTCATTCAAAGGGTAATGCCTGCAGGTTCCAAACAGAGTTCAGTCCAGTAGCACTGATTTAATCACTTGTGTCTGTGATTAACACAGAGCTCTAGGTTTGGATTACAGGAGTTTGCGGAAGGTAAAAAATGGTATAGACCCCTGTTCAGTTCATTACTTGCTGGAGAGGAGAGCAGTGAAAACTATTCCCTCTGTGAAAATATGTTGTTGAGATAACTGGATGATGTGCACATTTTTTTGCTCTTATAGACAAAGTGCATTGCACACACCAAGGGCTTCTTTCATCCCTCCACATCCTTACCCCTAAAGCTTCCAGTATGCCACACTCCCATCCCCCTTTAATCCAGGGACTCTTTGTAATCCCTCCCCCCCCCCCCACTTTGTGTGTCCCCAATCTCACTTCTGCCACATGCCATGTCTCCATGACACTTTATGTCATTGGTCTCCATTCTCATGCCAGGGCTTCAGTGTGCCTCCTCATTTCCATCTTTCTCCCATGGCTCCATTTCCTCTTCCCCATCATGCCAGGGACTCACTGTATCCTCTATATCCCTCTCCCCTCATAGATTTATTCCTCATTCTCCCCTCCATGCCAGGGACTCAGTCTCCCAGATTTGCTGCCATGCTTCTCATTCTTCCTTTCACTCCATAACAGGGTCTCCAATTTCCCCCCTGCTGTAGGTGTTCTCTGTGTCCCTCCTCTTTCTTTCCCCCATGGCTGTCTTCTCCAACCATTAGCTTTAGAATCAGAGAGGAGAATGGCTGAGTTACCTGTGGTATCACAATGGTCTTGGAGGACTTTCCGTGTGGCATAGATACTGTACATTATTTTTGTTCCGTACACCATCTGAGTGTAATTCATAAGATCAGAATTGCTGAGAACTGAAAAGTTGGATGATAGCAAACTTGCAAATCCCAGTGATGATGGAACCTGGTGATATTCTGGACAGAAAGAGCCCTCAACCATGCTCATGGATGTTTCCTTTGCTTTTCACTGACTCTACAGATGCAATAGGCTTCAGAATGACATACAGAGGCTATGTCTAGACTACGCTGAAGTTTTGAAAGAGGATATGCAAATTCCCGAGGTTTACACGGCTTTTTGAAAAAGGGTGGGAGGTGCAGAAAAAAATGTGTCCTGACTTTT